TCGAAAATCAGTGCAATCGAAAGATAAAAAGACTTAGGAGTGGTAGAGGATCAGAGTATGACTCTAATCCCTTCAAGGAATTCTATAGCTCACATGGTATCATTCATGAAACCACGACACCATATGCACCAGAAATGAATGGTAAAGCTGAGCGGAAAAATAGGACGTTTACAGAATTAGTTGTGGCTATTATGCTCAATTTTGGAGCTGCTTCTTCTTGGTGGGGTGATATTTTGTTGACAGTTTGCTATGTGCTAAATTGTCTTCCAAAGACAAATAGAAAAGAATCACCTATGAGATCTTGAAGAATAAGCCACCTAATCTGTCCTATTTAAGAACGTGGGGCTGTTTGGCCTACGTAAGAATTCCGGATCCTAAGAGGATTAAGTTGGCTAGTCGAGCATATGAATGTGTCTTCGTTGGCTATGCGGCCAATAGTAAGGCATATAGATTCTATGATTTGAATGCTCGTACTATAGTAGAATCCATTGATGCTGATTTCTTTGATACACGATTTTCATTTAAAACGAGAAATAGTGGGGGTAATGTACTACCCGCTATTAGAGATAACGGAACTAGTGGGGGTGTTGGTTCTGAGGATGAACTCAGAAAAAGTAAAAGAGCTAGAATCTCTAAAGATTTTTGGTGATGACTTTACTACAGAATACACCCTAGAAGATCCAAAAAGTTTGCAGGAAGCATTAACTTCCATAGATGCAGATTTTTGGAATGAGGCCGTTATAGATGAAATGGAATCGTTAGAAGCTAATAAGACTTGGCATCTAACAGACTTACCTCCTGGCTGCAAAGTCTTAGGTAATAAATGGGTTCTAAAAACGAAACAGAAACCTGATGGTGCAATCGAAAGGTTCTGAGCTCGCCTAGTAGTTAAGGGCTACAGGCAGAGAGAGAATATAGATTTCTTCGATACTTATTCACCAGTATCAAGAATAACATCCATTCGTGTTATGATTGCTCTTGCTGCCTTGAACAATCTTGTGGTACACCAAATGGATGTTAAGACCGCTTTTTTGAACGGTGACCTGGATGAAGAAGTACTAATTAGTAGTTTGAATGTTGTATGGCGACACTGTGTACGTTATTGGCCATATTGCTCTGATTTCGATCGGTGATCATTTCTATAATAATGCTAGAGAGATGTGTCTAGCTCGGGCAAGTGAATCTCTGTGTTTAGGGGCAACGTAACTCTGCATTCGAGATCATCAGTGAAGTCCTTTTCAGGTTGTTTGTTGAATAGGCTAGCTATATGCATGTTGAATACATGGCGTTTATATATGTTGTTACTTGTTGTTAGTGTGGGGGATCTGGATTGAAGCTGCAGTTAAGTCATCGATAGATTAATGGATCCAGAATGTTTGTTCTACAATTAATTATAGCCATTTTGGTTCGAAAATTAACTTGCAACCGTCAATGCTAAACTGTAAATAATGAATGTACGAGTGAGCCATGAATTACCTATGTTTACGTCTCAAAACTCAAAACACATCGGCTTAAATTCTAAAGGGTAAATACTATAAATACCGCCCAAACAATTTTGCCCCCAACTTACAATAATGACACAATATAATTGGCCCAAACTTTAAAAATAATAGACAGCTTTGGCCTAATTCTACATTTGATCGTTAATACTACAGTCAACTCAGTTAACAGGTAATGACTCAGCATGAGTTGCTGACGTGGCGGACACGTGTACTCCACATCAGCCAAAAATAAAATAAAATTTAATGAAACCATCAAAGCCGTTCCAGAAAACTTTTCGTATTCCTGATCTTTCAAGAATCCCTTTGAAGCCTTATTCATATAAACTTCCCCAACGACCCTCATTGACGACCTGCCGTCGGCGGTTCTGAACCCGCCGCCAGCGCCGCTTCATCATCTTCTACCATTCGCCATCCTCTTCCCAAATCGACCACCCTGTAGCCGCGACGGCTTGCCGGACCATTGCCATCACCGTCGCCATCCCTCTAACCGCCTTATCCTCAATTGGCGACAAGAGGCAACAAGCTTGAAGGTAGAAATCGTTTTGGAGTCTCACTTTCGTGGTTCTTCTCTCTTCGGCATCAAGTCACTCAATTCCCATCGTGCTTGTTTCTCAATATAGACAATTATTTTGGATTTTCTCCGATAATTTTATATCCTCACTTTTGTCACTCGTTGCCGATTGAGGGATGACCAGCAAGTCGTCGCGACTACAGGGTGGTCGGTTTGGAAAGAGGATGGCGAATGGTCGGGAGATGGTAAAGTGACGCTGGCAGCGGGTTTGAAATCAACGATGGCGGCGGGCGGGCTCGGAAACGACAATGGCGGCGGGCACGGAACATCAGCAACTCAAGCTGAGTCATTAACCGTTCACTAAGTTAATCGTTAAGTTAATCGTTAGTATTAACGGTCAAATGTAGAATTAGGCCAAAACTGTCTATTAGTTGTAAAGTTGGGGCCAATTGTGTCATTATTATAAGTTGGGGTCAAAATTATCTATTTATACAAAGTTTGGCATATTAGGGTATTTACCCAATTCTAAATTAACTAATGGGTTTAAAAAATATATTTAAGAATTTCCAACACTTTCACCACCAACGCTGGCTTCCACTTCCACCTTGTATATATTCGTTCAACTGATGCTGATTAGGGATGGCAATGGGGCGGGTTTGCCTAAACCATCCCCATCCCCATCTTCAAATTAAATATTCAAACCCATACCCGCCCCATACCCATGCGGAAAATGTTTTGCAAACCCATCCCCATACCCGTGGGTTTCGGGTACCCATGGGTAATACCCATCCCCGTACATCCAACATTATTATACCTAAAACTTACAAGAAATTTTTTAATTATAACCATAAACAAACCTATTATATCATGAAGTCAACAAAACACGGTCATTTTCTAAATACGATTCAAAGAATATGATCCTAAAACATCCATTAATACATAATATAGACTACAATATTTTTTAAATTATTATGCTCTAACTCTTTATACATGTACTAAGTAATAATTAACTAACATAATCTTGTTGACAATGGGAAAAGTGAAAGAGTGGAAGGAGAATTGAGGGAAATGAATTAGGTTTTGATTAAGGTGGTTACTCAATTGCATTTCTACTATTTATTTTCTCGAGTTATCATCATCATCATTGATAGATTACAATTTAAGGAAAAAATCCAAAACTACCACTGTTTTAAAAAAAATTTACAAAAATACCACCCTCACCAAATAATTTCCAAAAATACCATCGTTTATTTAAACCGCCCCCCTGATGAGCGGTTTTCAATGAAACCGCGCCTCTAGGCGGCATTTTCCTTTCTAACCGCTCCTTGGAGGCGCGTTTTTATTTTCCGGAGTAAACCGCTTCTGGGACGCGCGGTTATAGGATAAATCCTACCACAAAACGCTGGTAGAGGGAGCCTTTAAATGTCTTCTTGAGCGAAATCGGCCATTCTCTCGGAATCCGGACAGAGGTTCGACGGTTTTTTAGTGAAAACCAAAGAAAAGTTTTTTGGAGGCAGATCGGACTTAGGCCGCAACCAACAAAAAAACCTTTCTAAGGTTTTTGGGTGGGGAGGGGAGTGGAGTGGATAGGGAGAGGGGAGGAGAGGGGGGAATGAGGTTGGTGTGCAGAAAAGTGAAGGGGGAGAGGGTTTATATAGGGTCTAAACCGCGTCCCCGAGGGCCGATCCGTCAATTTTCCCCAACAAAAACCGCGCCTCGGAGACGCGGTTTGCTTCTCCCGAACAGACAATCGCGCCTCGGGGACGCGGTTTCCTTTTCCCGAACAGTCAAACCGCGCCTCGGGGACGCGGTTTACTTTTCCCGAACAGTCAAACCGCGCCTCGGAGACGCGGTTTACTTGGCCGACGCGGATCGCCTAGCTGGCACACGTTTTGGCCGTTAGACCGCTCTCCCATCAAGCGGTTGGATGAAACGCCACGTGGACAAGCGGTTTGACAGCCATCCAAGGTCAAACCGCTGCTTGGTGACGCGTTTTGTGATGAAACCGCGCCTCTAGGCTGCGGTTTCATTGAAAACCGCTCATCAGGGGGGCGGTTTTAAATAATCGATGGTATTTTTGGAAATTATTTGGTGAGGGTGGTATTTTTGTAAATTTTTTTTAAAACAGTGGTAGTTTTGGATTTTTTCCACAATTTAATCCACATATTTTTTTATATGTGAAGAAATTCTCTTGGTTGGGCGGGTATGGGTACGGGTATGGGGCGGGGAGGCTAAAACCATACCCGCCCCATACCCATCAAACTTTTTGCGGGTTTTACCCATACCCGCCCCATTCCCGGTCAAAGCGGGGATTCCCCGCGTTGACTGGGTCGGGGGCGGTCGGGTACCCGCGGCCATGGGTTTGATTGCCATCCCTAATGATGATCAAGGTGTGATCGATGTTTTTATGTCCAAACACATTAAACTTCTATTCGAGGAGGTGTGTGTTAAGATAATACTTCAAAATTTATACGGGATCTCTCCCAACAACTATAGATTATTGAAATAAAATAATTATTGACGTTTATATTATTACAGTGCATACCTTAAAATCTTGATGATCATATGTGAAGAAATAATATTGATAATATATTGACTTTGAATTAATTTTACCAACCACGTTTATAATATTTTATTACTATAGGGGTCGTTTGGATGAAGAATTGTAACAGATCAATTTGATACAATTTTCTCGTTTTGAGACAATTGTACCAAATTGCCTCGTTTGCCAGCATTTGATGGATCAATCTGCCTGAGCTATTTTGAATTGGTCCGTTTTGAGTCAATTTCAATTATCTGGAATGTGGGTAGGTAATTCGAATTGACTCGTTTTAATTGTCTCGTTTATAAAACGAGACAATTGATCAAATTGACTCATTTCTAGATTGATCTATCCAAACGACCCATATGTTTTCCCCCCACATTCTCGAGATTGCTTACCACTAGTGGCCAAATGTGTTGACGGTTCTAGTTGATGCAAGGAAGATGTTGAATTTTTTTTTATTTAAAGGATTAAATGAACACCTGAATTCCAAAGGGAAGATGATTCGTCATGGATCCAACAAACAATCACTGGTTGACGTTAGAGATATGAGTCAAGAACGATAAGCCATAGAAACTGCCGCATGCTTTCTCAATATCCTATATGTATCACTCTTCGCTCATAAACCCTATTGTTCCTTTCAAATCCATATATATATATATATATATATGACGTGGGAGCACGTAGCATGTCCATGCATGCACGAGAGCAAATCATACAACTCTTTCTTGGAACAGAATGTGCCCCTTACTTAATTACCTCTTCTCGTATCTTGGGCATGGGGGATGAACCATGTTCGAGCGAAACCAGTCCCAATCCGGCTCTTCATTTGCCCAATGACTTTCGTCGCAACATCCACCCTCATAATCACCCCATTCAGCGTCCGTATCATAATCAGGAGGAAGAGGGTCTAGGGCCGCTTCCCGCGTCGCCAGGTCAAGAAGCGCTTCAGTCAGTGTCTGCCCTGCAATTTAAGTAAGAATTCGCAAGATTGAAATTAAATCAAGTAGCAGTAAATATCGAAAGATGCCACCTGCACAAAAAGGGATAGATAGATGAATTACCCTTAGGAAGTGGGGTTGGACACAGTCCTGCCAACCATTGGTTGTTGACGACATCTTGTTCTGTGCGCTTCAAAATCGAAGGAAACAATCAAGAGAATTCAATCACAACAATCAAAATCGAGGAGCAAGCTGCTGGCTTGGACATGAAAGGGGGGATTAGTAGTGCAAAACCAATTAAAGAAAGATTAATGGTAGAATCTGCATTAATGCTTACTTGTGGTGGATATGGGTCAGCAATCACAATGGAACCCAAAAAGGCCTTCTCTGATGATGTCGTCTTCTGATGTGAAGAAGAGCCAGAGTTAGCAGCTGTGGAGAAAGGATAAGAGTTTGTGATCATGGGTTTAGTGGATGAGGGGCTGCTTATTCCGGTGATCTGCGGCCGTAGCAGCTCCTTCTTCCGCTCAGAGGTGGCAAACATGGGTTTAGTAGATGAGGCAGAGGCACCACTTTTCCCTTTGGTCAGCCGTAGCAGCTCCTTCTTCGGCCGTGCAACTACTGCAAAATTAAGCAAAATCTAGAGGATGAACTAAACAATCAAGCAGCAAAGGTGGCGGGAGAGCCCTAGATGCTAAAAGGGGAGAATTGAATTGAATTGAATTACCCTTGTTTCTTTTCTTTGTCATGCTCTGCAAAATCAGCAAGGAGGAAAGAGGGCATCAGGGACAAACATACATTAGGTTTCGCAGCAGTTATATGAAGCCGGTTCCGATCTGGCGCCAACAAACAGCGGCAGGAAGCTAAGAAAAGGATCGAGGTTCAGCGAAATGATCTCCTTCAAACTTTCTGCGATTCGCTGAATTAGGTTGCAGAGGATCTCCTTCGGGTTTTCTCCAATCGGCCGCGAATTAGGTTTTCTAAGATTTGCTTGCCTGAAACAGCGGTGTCTCTATCAAGAATTTCATAGAAAGAAGGCAATGGTGGAGAGTGGAGACCTTCGTAATTGAAATCAAACGAATTTACCGAAGAGCAAGAAAGCGACAGGCAAAGATTTGTGCCGACGATCTACTTCAACCTTCCTCCAATTGCCGGGAATTAGGTTTCTTCAGCTTTCCCCAAAGCAGACGGTTTTGGGAAAAGATTTTTTTCTTTTCTGGGTGATATAATATAAGCAACAGAGTATAGTAAGTTTCTGGGTAGCCCAATTGCTTGCAAAAGCCCAAATGAGACAAAGGCCAGAACTACACTGAAAGCCCACACCCCCCTCTCTGAATTTGTTGTGTTCAAAAAAAATTCCATGTTGGTAGGAATTTAAACTTGAATTCAACATTTTTCACTTCTCCCGTCTAAGTGGCCCAACACTATCACCAAAGAAATGTTTTAAAGAAGGATCCGATTGATGATTAATTTTCTGTCTGCTTGTCGTTCTCGTGGTTTAAAGTTACGTAAACATCAATATAATGAGCAATGTAGTCAAAATCGCGTTTTAAAGCTTAAAAACTTACGTTTTTAAGTTTCTAGGTCACCAAAGCGCTTCTACGCAAAATCACAGTTTTTATAGCTAATGTAGTTAAAAACGCGCTTTAAAACTTTAAAGGCTTGTGATTTTACGCTTCTAGATCATCAAAACGTTTCTACGTAGAAACGCGATTTTGACGACATTGATAATGAGTACTTAAATTAAAATAAAATGAAAGAAAAAAGAGAATCAAGAATGTGGAGGGCATCGTGTCCAATATTCTCCATCATTATAATTATATTGACTTGTACTGAGAAAAAAGAACTAGGACACTGTACGGAAGTTTCTGAATGCTTATTTGTCGGATAAATTGTCATGATAAAAGAGTACATTTGATAATTTGCGTTACCGTATATGAAACTTTTAACTTGATAATAAAAAAAAATACGAGCTGTCATTCTTTTCAACTTGAACACCATTTGAGTGATTAAAAACACATAATTAACATGAGAAGCATTAGAAATTCAATGGATACTATAGTCAGTGCAATTTGAAAAATTCAAACACAATGATAATATTAATAAGGATTTTTCTATTGGTGTTGTGATCATTTCAAAGATCCTCAGACGGCGGTATCTTATGTAGCCGAAGTTCACCGGCAGTGAACCCTTAGACGGCGGCAGCATATGCAAACCGGAAGCATGAGCCGGATCTACAGTTCCTGAGCCTCGTATACTCCAACTCCATCTTCCTAGCTAGTTCCTTGCCGTATTTAGTTGGAACTGAATAATAAGTTAGATGCTTGCCGATTCGCCCAGCCGGCCAGCCCGGCTCAGGTTAGGAGGATATAGAAGAAGGCCCAAACGTACGTTCACTGCAGAGGACAGAGGTCATTTCTTGGTTTCACTTTTAAATATGAATAAAATATTCCTATTGCTTAATTATTATTGTTATTATTATGTTATTAATCAAACAGCAGAGAAGTAGAGGATGAAGGTTGCAATGAACTTGGGATTATCCCCTAATTAATCTCCATGTGGCACAAATTGTGTCTTCGCCAATTCATATATATCAAATTGGCTCATCCGCACTATCTTAACTCCTCGAAGAACCTATAAAAATAACATACAATGGTCTGTTGGGACTTGAGAGTAAGATGTAAGAAGTGAACTAACTAACTCATACCTCTCTAATTCAAGATGTTTCCACAAATAAGTTACGGACACATTTTATGATATTTATGACTTTTGAGTATAAATCATTTTATTAATTCTTTTTAGTTTTGCGTAACTTGTTCTTCAAATCCCTAATATAATAAAGGGTAAATACAATTTAATATCCAAACCTTTCATTTTAAACAATTTAATAGCCAAATCTTTTTGAAAACAATCTAATATCCAAATCGTCAACTTTCCGTCCGTTTGATCGTTAGTTGACACTTCAAAAAAGCTTTGTTTAGGGGAAATTGTCACAATACAACTTTGTTTTCTTGTTTTGGCATTGCAGATGACTGAATATTTAGATATTCTATACCATCATGGTGGAGTCATGGTCTTCTCGGGTTTGGAACCACGATATGTTGGTGGTTTTTCAGAGAAGATATCGATGGATATTGATGAAGCGTCGTACTTCGAACTTTTTTGAAGTGTCAAAATAACGGTCAAACGAACGAAAAGTTGACGATTTGGATATTAGATTGTTTTCGAAAAGGTTTGACTGTTATATTGTTTAAAATCAAACTTTTGGATATTAAATTGTATTTACCCTATAATAAACTAATAAACTTTCGGGATGTCCCAATTCTTCTGTTACCTCAGTGACAATGATGTGCCAGCAATGTCTTTATTTATTCCATCACCGATGCTTGAGGTTTAGCCTCCCATCTTTCTTGCAACACTTGGTCACAACCTTGATTTGATAACTTTGCATATTAATAATATTGAACTTTTAACCCGTAACAAAAAGCATACAGATACATGTATAGGGCCAATTTTTTCAATCCTTAATTAACACCACTCCAGCCATTAAAAGAACTAAAAAGTAACATCAGGAATATAACAAACTAAATGATTATCATAGCCAACCAATGCAATGAAAAAAAAAGAAGAGTCAAACATAACAATAGTAATAATAATAATACTTATGATAAGTGAATCAATAGTGAAAAACGTAGATGTCGCACTCCACGACCCCGTTTCCAGTCGTAGTATCAAAGGAATACGTTTTGAAATGAACCTTTCCACGTGCGAACCCGAACACTCCGGTGCCTCCGACGACCGGCATCTCCCTTATCCCGGCAGCAAGTATGGGGTTGCGTCCCAACACAGTGACGGTACTTTCTCGGTACTCACCATCCGCCGTAAACACAAAGTTGACTAACTCCACAAAAGCCACGTCGGTCCTGGAAGCGACGCCGTATAGCCCCTGAACGCGTCCCACCGTGGTGGAGTTGAGCTCTGGGTCCAACGTCAAAGGGTTGTCCACCATGGTTAACCGCCCAAACAAACCGGCCGGGTCGTTGAAATCTAGAGGACCTTTAGGGTTGAGAGGCAGGGCCGTGACGTTTGGGCCGGCAAGGAGGTTGTGGTAGTAGAAATGGAGGTGGGTCAGCTTCTCATTCTTCAGCGCCATAGCTTTTGCCGACAGTTTGGCGGAGAAAGGATGCGATGACATTAATCTAGCCTCGGAAAGTAGAATGGAGAGGAGGAAGAGGGTAATCAGAACGGAGAAGAGGGAATATTGTTTCAGCAGCATTTTGGCCATGGTATGGTAGAATCAGTATTAATGAAAGAACTCTTTGAAGAATGTATGTGCTATAGCTAACTGAAAGCTTCTTTTTTTTTTTTTTTATCTTGTATATATGTTTGGAGATGAAGGGTATAAGATTGCCTCTATTTATAGCTAGAAAGCGCAAGCCAAGGTTCCATCGCCGGAATGAACCTTAGACGGCGGCATCCACTGCACTTGCAAAAAGACAAGCCGCATAAGACTTTTTCAGCTTCACTCAGCCAAAAACCAAACGAGAAACCTTCAAAGAATGTTCAGAGGGCAGACAAGAGACAACCATACAAACACATGAAATGTTTATCTTTTAGTCATGGTGATGCGTATCTTACCTCAAAGGAGGCAATACACACAAAAAAAAACCAAAAACCAAAAACCCTTCGCACAATGTGCAGCAGCAGACACACATGAAATAGCTAGAAGTTCTAAACTTACAAATCAGAAGCTGTTCTTGATGAAGAGCTTATCAATGAGAAGTTATTCGGCAAAAAAGGGCAAACAAAGCACAAAGAGCAGATTAATGTAGGAGAGCCATGTAACAAATTACATGACCAACCGTACCTGTACTGTACACACATGCTAGGAAGAATAGATATCTACCTTGCAAATAAAATAAGAAACATTGATAAAAACACAACTGCAAGAAGATAGAACTTGCAACAAACTAAGTTTCAAAGCCCACAAATGATGAAAGACACTCTTTTTTCCATATGGATCCCGGAGAACCTATATGTATGTAAATATGTACGTGACCAACAGGAGGGCGCGGCTGAAAATGCTCTCCACCAACCAATAAGAAATAGAAACTGTAGCATACATTCTCAATATCCTATCTATCCCTCATAACCCTATTGTTCCATTTAAATCCATGATGACATGGAGCATGTAGCACGGCCATGACACCAAATCATACAACTCTTTCTGGAACAGAATGTATCCCCTACTTTACCTCTCCTCATATCTTGGGCAGGGGATGAACCATGGTCGAGCGAAACCAGTCCCAATCAGCCTCTTCATTCTCCAAATGACTTCCTCTGTGGCATTCACCCTCATAATCAAATCACCCCATTCCGCGCGTCGGAATCATAATCAGGAGGAAGAGGAGGGTGCCGCGCCATTTCCGCCTCCGCCATATCAACAAGCGCTTCAGTCAGTGTCCTCCTTGACCCTGCAATGTTAGTAAGGATTTGGAAGGTGAAAATCTAGTAGCAGCAAATATACAGAGCACCTACACGAAAGGGAGAAATGAGCTACTGCCCTTGTTAAAAGGGGTGCTGCTGACTAGATCATGTTCTGTGCGCTGCAAATTAAACCCAAGGAGGAACCAACAAAAGAAGTCAATTACTTCAATACAACGGGGTCAAGAACCAATCAACTTACTAGTCAGAGAGAAGAGAAGGATCTCAAAGGAAAGGATACTAATATACAGAGTCTGTCCGAATCAAACATGACCATATTACACCTTTAATCGACCCTTTTAAGAAGAAAACACCTTTTAGCTAGCTGCTGGCTTAAGCATGAAAGGGGATTATTAGTTAAAACCAATTAAAGAAAGATTGCGGTAGAATCTGCTTGCTGCTTGCTGCTTACCTGTGGTGGATATGGGTCAGCAATCACATCGGAATCCAAAAAGGCCTTATCTGATGCCGTCCTCTGATGTGAGGAGCCAGAGTTAGGTGCTGTGGAGGAGGGCTCAGAGGTTGTGATTATGGGTTGATACTTGATTGGATGAGCGGCCGGTAGTCTGGGTCTGCAGCTTCTTATTTCGCTCAATTGCGGCAGTGACATAGCCTAGTACTGTGGTCTGCTGCAGCAGCTTCTCCTTCCGCGTAACAATAGAAGTAAGAAATTTCGGGGAATGAAATAATCGGAATCAAGCAGGAGACCCCTAGAACAAGAGAAAGGTAAAGAGAAACGAATTACAGCCTCCTCGTCTTCCGACATAAAAACCAATTAGCAAAAACAGACAGACAGAAGGTTCCGGAGCAGGTATGAATAATGAAGCCAGTTCCGGGCAAACGCCAAAGTACAGCGGCAAGAAGAAAGAATCGAGATGAAACCAATAGCGGCTTACGAAGATTTCTGCCGATTATCTTCTTCAATTCACGGCAATTAGGTTGCCGATGATCTCCTTCGAATTGGCGGGAATTAGGTTTTCTAAAGCTTTCCCCAAAGCAGACGGTTATGCGATTCGCGGGGAATAATGACATGAGGATATCGCAATAATATAATAAACCTTTTAAATTTCCGGCATGGCCCAGTTGATGCAAAAGCCCAAATTCAGGCCAACCAATTTTTACGGTGACGGACCAAATGTATTAACCTGGGTTAGTTAGACCAAAGGACCATAGTTTATGAGTAGAACGAGATTAGTTGAAAACCCAGTTATGATCAGCTTGCCTCTTCTTCATTGAATACCCTTCTAATTCTATGGTTGAAGTTAAATTATATTATTTAATCATATCCTTTACTTTAATTTAATTCCAATTTCAAAAAACTTATACAATGGTACGGCATGATATTAGAGCATGAAATACTTTTCTTGCAAAATGAATATAATATTGTAAATCACATTTAACACAATTGTTCGGTATAAATAAACGAAAATGCAACTCAACGAATGAAAATTATTAAACGAGCAATTGTATAGATTTAATTTTGAATTTATATTTTAGATTTTAATTATTAAACAAGCAATTGTATAGATCTCATTTCGTTCCCCTTCCTGAGGTTAAAAATTAGGAGTTATGCAACGGCTCCCTTTTTATATTTTACATTTTTGGATCCATGGATCTAAATGACAAATTATGATTTGGTACCTATACTTTTTATATTTTACATTTTTTGTACCAAAAATTGTACGAAAAATATCATTGGAAAATTACGATTTGGTACCTAAAAATTTTCATTATGACATTTTAGTACCTAAACTTTTTATATCCACCAATCTATGGATCAATCCATTTGCCACCTCTAGTTCTAGTTGATGCAAGGAAGATGTTGAATTTTTTTTTTATCTGAAGGATTAAATGAAGCCCTGAATTCCAAAGGGAATAGGATTTGTCATGGATCCAACAAGCCAACAAACAATCACTAGTTGACGTTAGAGAGATGAGTCAAGAACGATAAGCAATAGAAACTGCCTGCATGCGTTCTCAATATCCTATCCTATGTATCACTCTTCGCTCATAAACCCTATTGTTCCTTTCAAATCCATATATATATATGACGTGGGAGCACGTAGCATGGCCATGAATGCACGAGAGCAAATCATACAAATCTTTCTTGGAACAGAATGTGCCCCTTACTTAATTACCTCTTCTCATATCTTGGGCATGGGGGATGAACCATGTTCGAGCGAAACCAGCCCCAATCCGGCTCTTCCTTCGCCAAATGACTTTCGTCGCAACATCCACCCTCATAATCACCCCATTCCGCGTCCGTATCATAATCAGGAGGAAGAGGGTCTAGGGCCGCTTCCCGCGTCGCCAGCTCAAGAAGCGCTTCAGTCAGTGTCTGCCCTGCAATTTAAGTAAGAAAGAATTCGCAAGATAGAAATTAAATCAATTAAGTAGCAGTAAATATCGAAAGATGCCACCTACACAAAAAGGGATAGATAGATGAATTAGAATTACCCTTAGGAAGTGGGGTTGGACACGGTGCTGCCAACCATTGGTTGTTGACAACATCTTGTTCTGTGCGCTTCAAAATCGAGGAAACAATCAAGAGAATTCAACTATGAAAACTTGATGTACCAACGCTAACATGACCATATATTAGGGCTGGCAGACGGTTTTCCGGTTAGCGGATAACCGACCGGTTTCAATCGAACCGGCCGGTTTTCGGCTAGCCGAAAAACCGATCGCAAAGGCCTCGGTCGGTTTGCGGAGGGAGAATTCATGGGGCCGGTTAGCCGACTAACCGGGGTCAGAAACCGGCGGTTAACCGGCTAACCGACCCCTTCCCTTTCCCCAAAACGACCCCGCTTCAATCCTCCTCCCTCAACCCTAAATCAACTCCCTAACAAACACCCTAGCCTCATTTGCTTCCCCCTCTTTTGCTTTCCTCTGAATCAGAAACGACCCCTTCTCCTCCCTTCTCAAACTCGATTTCATTTTCTTCTCCCTTCTTCAATTTTGCATGCGAAACCTGATCCTCTCTCTCGGAAGGCATGGTGACGACTGACGAGGACCTTCGCCGCTCAACCCTTCCCCTCCCCCCTCCACCTCGCCGCCTCCACCTCGCCGCCTCCACCATGTTTCGCCGCCGCAGCTCCAGCCGCAACGCCAGGTCGCCAGCAGCGACCTTCCTCTTCCCCCTCCACCTCGCCGCCTCCACCTCGACGATCCGCCGCAGCTCCAGCCAGGCAACGCCAGCAGCAGCTCGTCGCCCCTCGCCGTGGCGCCGCGCACATCATAACTCCGGCAGCTAGTCGCCCTCCAACCGCGGATCTTCGGGCATATTCCAGAGGAGGTCGGTCTCCGGCCGGGTACCTGCGGATCTCGGCCGCCGGAGGTTGAGGATTGTGATTCGAAGAGAGGAGGAAGGAGAAAATCGAGAAGAGGAGATAAGGTTTGGTGGAGGAAGGAAGAAGAGAGGAGATAAGGTTTGGTGGGTGTGGACGTGTGGTGCAGATTTTTTGTATTTTTTAATTTTTTTTTTTTTTAGAAAAGGTAGTTTTCTGGTGAGGAAGGAAGTCTCTGTGTTTTTTTTTTTTTGTAAAAGTTTTTTTTTTATAAAAATTAGCTAAACGCTGACGTTTAGAGGGAATGGGTATTTTTTTCCGGGTATGTGGTTAACCGAGCCTAAAACCGAAAACCGGTCGGTCGGTGGTCGGTTGCCCGTGGCTCTCTCACGGTCGGTGGTCGGCAGCCGTGTTGGGTGTCTCGATTTAACCGAAAACCGAGTTTTCAGTTTTCGGTTCAACCGAAACCGACCGGTTGCCACCCCTACCATATATCCTAAACGAGGTCACACACTCTCCATCTTAAAATAATCAACCCTTGTCTTATTCTTCAATGGGATTCCTATAACTAGGGCTGTGAGCCGAGTCGAGCTTTGCTATGGTTCGGACTCGGCTCGTTAATATATTTTTAGGCTCGAGCTCGACTCGTTTTCGCGTGTCGTTCATGAGTGGCTTGGTTCATTAACAACCCTACCTATAACCCTGTCAGGGTGAGGGGAAAGCACAAAACTTTTTTCTTTCTGTAATCGACCCTTTTAAGAAGCGAACCCCTTTTAGCTAGATGCTGGCTTAAGCATGAAAGGGGGGATTAGTAGTGCAAAACCAATTAAAGAAAGATTAATGGCAGAATCTGCATTAATGCTTACTTGTGGTGGATATGGATCAGCAATCACAATGGAACCCAAAAAGGCCTTCTCTGATGTCGTCTTCTGATGTGAAGAGCCAGAGTTAGCAGCTGTGGAGGAAGGATAAGAGTTTGTGATCATGGGTTTAGTGGATGAAGGACTGCTTATTCCGGTGATCTGCGGCCGTAGCAGCTCCTTCTTCCGCTCAGAGGTGGCGAACATCAGGGACAAACATACATTAGGTTTCGCAGCAGTTATATGAAGCCGGTTCCGATCTGGCGCCAACAACAGCGGCAGGAAGCTAAGAAAGGATCGAGGTCCAACGAAAAGCCAGTTACGAAGATTTATGCCAATGATCTCCTTCAAACTTTCTTCGATTCGCGGAATTAGGTTGCAGAGGATCTCCTTCGGGTTTTCTCCAATCGGCCGAATTAGGTTTTCTAAGATTTGCTTGCCTGAAACAGCGGTGTCTCTATCAAGAATTTCATAGAAAGAAGGCAATGATGGAGAGTGGAGACCTTCGTAATTGAAATCAAACGAATTTACCGAAGAGCAAGAAAGCGACCGGCAAAGATTTGTGCCGACGATCTACTTCAACCTTTCTCCAATTGCCGGGAATTAGGTTTCTTCAGCTTTCCCCAAAGCAGACGGTTTTGGACTTCGAGGGAAGATTTTTTTTCTTTTTTTCTTTCTGGGTGATATAATATAAGCAACAGAGTATAGTAAGTTTCTGGGTAGCCCAATTGCTTGCAAAAGCCCAAATGAGACAAAGGCCAGAACTACACTGAAAGCCCACACCCCCCTCTCTGAATTTGTTTTGTGTTCAAAAAAAATTCCATGTTGGTAGGAATTTAAACTTGAATTCAACATTTTTCACTTCTCCCGTCTAAGTGGCCCAACACTATCACCAAAGAAATGGGTAAAAAATAATCCGATTGGTGATTAATTTTCTGTCTGCTTGTCGTTCTCCTAGTTTGAAGTTACGTAAACATCTAACATAATGAGTACCTAAATTAAAATAAAATGAAAGAAAAAAGAGAATCAAGAATGTGGAGGGCATCGTGTCCAATTTTCTCCATCATTGTAATTATATTGATCTGTACTGAGAAAAAAGAACTAGGACACTATACGGGAGTTACTGAATGCTTATTCGTTGGATAAATTGTCATGATAAAAGAGTACATTTGATAATTTGCTTATATATAGTATATGAAACTTTTAACTTATAATAACAAAATACGAGTTGTCATTCTTTTCAACTTGAACACCATTGGAGTGATTAAAAGCACATAATTAACATGAGAAGCATTACAAATTCAATGGATACTATAGTCAATGCAATGCAATTTGAAAAATTCAAACACAATGATAATATTAATAAGGGAATCAATAGTGAAAAACGTAGACGTCGCATTTTACGACCGTGTTTCCCGTTGTAGTATTAAATGAATGCGTTTTGACATGAACCTTTCCACGAGCGAACCCGAACACTCCGGTGCCTCCGACGACCGGCATCTCCCTTATCCCGGCAGCAAGTATGTGGTTGCGTCCCAACACAGTGACGGTGCTTCCTCGGTACTCACCATCCGCCTTAAACACAAAGTTGAATAACTCCATAAAAGTCGCGTCGGTCCTGGAAGCTACGCCGTATAGCCCCTGAGCGCGTCCCACCGTGGTGGAGTTGAGCTCTGGGTCCAACGTCAAAGGGTTGTCCGCCATGGTTAACCGGCCAAACAAACCGGCCGGGTGGTTGAAATCTAGAGGGCCTTTAGGGTTGAGAGGCAGGACCGTAAAGTTTGGGCCGGCTCGAGAATACAACTCCAACTGTTAGTGTCAAAACCCTTTTCAATGTCGAGCTTTATGACTAATCCCGATTTCCCACTCCTCCACTGACTATAAATAATCTCTTTTGCAATGAGGCTGGCTTCGTGGGTATCAATCGACCCGTTTTCCCCCAAATTGATTTCTAGAAATGATTCCATTCATAAAGGGCTGGAGAGGGTTGAAAAGCAACTTTGAGATTACCTTATTCAGGCTGCCTAGCAGACTTATTGGTCTGAAATCAAATATTTCTTCGACAACTTCATTTTTAGGGATCAAGCATATGAAAGAATGAGTAATTGCTTGAGGAAGTGACCCCTGAGAGATAGTAATCATCCAAGCCTTAAGTAGATCAGATTTTATGATATTCAATCCTTTCTTGAAGAACTCAAGGGTAAATTCGCCAGGCCAAGGTGCTTTAATTTGTCCCCATTGCAAAGTCGGATAACCTCCCAAATCTCAGATTCTAAGAAAGGCTTCACAAGTGCTTCGTTCTCTTCATCTTTAAAAAAGAAAGGCCTATAATTCCTAGGAAAAGGCCTATTCTCTTCGCATTCAGAAAACTTTGACTAAAAAAATTTCCTCATTGCATATTTGATTACGTTAATGTCATTTGTCATACAATCATCGATTTTCAATCTCCTTATTATGTTTCTCCGCCGATTTTGATTGGCCACTCTATGAAAGAAGCCGGAGTTATTGTCTCCCACCTTGAGCCACAACTCACATGACTTCTGTCACCACGAGATCTCAAATAACAATATCTTTTCAAGGTCGCGTTTCAGGAGAGCTCTTTCCGTTTTCAAAAACTCATTGATTGCTCCCGATTCTTCCACTACATCAATAGCTTTGATCATTGCCAAGAGTTCCCCAATCTTCCAGCTATCCTGTATATTATCCCAAAGTACTCCCTATATGTGATTTATCCTGCGGCCTTTGAAAAATCCTTGTAGTTCTTTTGTTACCTCAGTGACAATGATGTGCCAATGTCTTTATTTATTCCATCACCGATGCTTGAGGTTTAGCCTCCCATCTTTCTTGCAACACTTGGTCACAGCCTTGATTTGATAACTTAATTAACACCACTCCAGCCATTAAAAGAACTAAAAAGTAACATCAGGAATATAACAAACTAAATGATTATCATAGCCAACCAATGCAATGAAAAAGAAAAAGAGTCAAACATAACAATAGTAATAATAATAATACTTCTGATAAGTGAATCAATAATGGAAAACGTAGATGTCGCACTCGACGACCACGTTTCCAGTTATAGCATCAAAGGAATACGTTTTGAAATAAACCTTTCCACGTGCGAATCCGAACACTCCGGTGCCGCCGACAACTGGCATCTCCCTTGTCCCGTCGGCAAATATGGAGTTGTGTCCCAACACAGTGACGGTGCTGCCCCGGTACTCACCATCCGCGGTAAACACAAAGTTGAATAACTGCACAAAAGCCACCTCGCTCCTTGAAGCGACGCCGTAGAGCCCCTGAGCGCTCCCAACCGTGGTGGAGTTGAGCTCTGGGTCCAACGTCAAAGGGTTGTCCACCATGGTTAACCGCCCAAACAAACCGGCCGGGTCGTTGAAATCTAGAGGACCTTTAGGGTTGAGAGGCAGGGCCGTGACGTTTGGGCCGGCAAGGAGGTTGTGGTAGTAGAAATGGAGGTGGGTCAGCTTCTCATTCTTCAGCGCCATAGCTTTTGCCGACAGTTTGGCGGAGAAAGGATGCGATGACATTAATCTAGCCTCGGAAAGTAGAATGGAGAGGAGGAAGAGGGTGATCAGAACGGAGAAGAGGGAATATTGTTTCAGCAGCATTTTGGCCATGGAAAAAAAATGACTTGGAAGAAGTTTCAGAATGAAATTAAGTTTTGTATTTTTTTATGCTTGGACATGAAAGTATAGATTGCCTCTATTTATAGGAATAGATTGAAATGTGCAGGCTACTATATGAATTGGTTGAACTGTTCTTATGTAACTGCTAGAAAGTGCCCAAGGCAGCTTAATTAATTTTGTCTATTGCAATTTGTAGCCGTCTTAAGTTCTTGTTTGCATGGATTTGGGGTTTTATTATTTTTTCCCCCCGGTAATCGGCTAGTTCAAATATTCAGAGGTATTTTAATTGAAAGGCGTCATTTGCTAACCCGCTCATGGTTGATCTGGAGAAATGTTCAAATATTCTTATTGCTATTTATTATTATTATTATTATTATTATTTAATTGAAGAAGCACAGATGAAAGTTGGGGACAAGATATGGTGCAACACCGGCGCTTATTAATGTTAGCACTATGATAACATAATCATTAAGGGTATTATACAATGTAACTACCAGTCTACCACTTGTATGTCATAGCTCTACCTTCAATATGTTTGGGTTTTGACAGACAAATTACAGTTTGGTATTTAAACTTAATAAATGTTAAGACTTAGTACCTATAGTTTATTTTATGCTTACAAGTCCTAAAATTATTGGCGAAAACTTACATTTTAGTACTAAATTTTTTTTCATACATTTGTTACCTAAACTTTTAAAATTTTACAAGTAGATCCAAGTTTATGAGGTTTTTAGTACGCTTTAAGAAAATTTTGGTATATATGCTTTATAAGGTTTCTGGTATGTTTTAAGAAACTTGTGATATACTTTAATAAACTTGTGGTCAGGTTTATGATGTTTTGTAGTATGCTTTATGAGATTTCTGATATGTTTTTAAAAAAAAAACTTGTTATGGTATGTTTTACGAAACTTGTGGTA